TCTTTCTGCTTGCTGTTGGTCTCCTTTGCAATTTTGTTCTTGGCTCTTTCTTTGTCCAGTTTCAAAAATTCACCGAGGGTCAGTTCTTCAAACTGCTTCTTGACAATCAGGAAGGCACACTTAGGCGAGTGCTTTTTATGCTCCTGCATGGGGTTGTCATCTGGCTCCCAGCCTTCCAACTCCTTAAAGCAGAAAAAGCACTGGGCCAAGTCAGGCTCTTTCTCGGTAGGGCAGTGGATGAAGGCGGCTTCCTCCATCCGCTCGGGGGTGCAGGAGCAGCCCTCCAGGAAGGGCCAGTTCTTGAAGGTGGAGATGCGGTGCTCCATGAGATACAGCTGCCAGGTCGGGGACAGAGTCGGAGTCCCCATGGTGCCACCGCCGCCAGGCCGCCTGCGAGTACGATTCAAATCCTTCCTTCTTAACAGCTGTTTACACTCAAGCATTTTGGTACAGCACTGGAAAACTTACAGATTGTATATTTTAGGAAACTATTAGGTTCTGCTTAACATAGTTATTTTAAGCATGAAGGGAGCTAGTAACATGCTGACTCGTTAGCCTGTATCCTGATATGCAGTAGTCAAATTAGTACATATCCTGGTACCAGACCTTGCTGTATTCTGCTGCTGGTGGATTTTTTTTTTTTTTTTTTTTTTTTTTGGGAACGGGTTTTCTTTTGGTTTCCCCAAACACCATTTAATTAAGACAAAAAATTCCCCCTCCCCCTCGGCCCCCGGGGCGGTCCTGCCTCTGCCTCCCGAGTGCTGGGATTAAAGGTGTGAGACACCATCGCCCCGCTGCTGGTGGATTTTTAATGCCATCAGCATCAATATGGTAGCAGGAGGCCTGGGGAAAGTGACAGCTGCAGAAGTACTTGCTTTTCCACTTTTAGCTGTCTTCCTGAAGACATCTGTTTGGATAGCTGATACAAATGACTCATTAGGTATTTGGGCTCAGTTCAGCGTAATTTGAGGATGGCACACCTGGTCTTCCATTTATTACAGTTCTGTCCATTTTTGTTGGTTTTATGATTTTGATCTTACAAATATCCCTGTGAGTTTTTTCTTTCTTCTCTTATGCTACAGGGTGGCATATAGATATGTGTCTCTTTAATTAAAGCTGCCCCCAGTTCAGATCAGAAAAATGTTGCAGACACTACTGGGTGACTCAGACAAAACCCAAAGCTGCTCACAGAAAGCTGTGCAAGAAATTCCTCTCTGCTCTGTTTTTCATCAAAACTCTTTTCATGACAGGTGCTTTAAAGTTGGCATAGGAGCCCTAGGATGAAGGTGGATGGAACTCTTATGAAGAGACATACCTGCTACCCAATGTGCTGGTCATTTGAAAAGAGCTAAAGGTGAGAAACTGTAACTTACTGAGGACTCAGGTAGATCCCAGCAGGCCCAGCCTGAATAAGGGTTCATCCATATATAAAACACACACACACACACACACACACACACACACACACACACACACACACACACACACCACTTGAGACAGGACTGGCCAGGAACTTGCTATGTAGACCAAGCTGGCTTTGAATTTGCAGGGATCCTCCTGCTTTGTCTTCCTGAGTGCTAGGATTACAGGTGTGTGTACCACACCGGGTTCATCCTTAATTTTTATACATAATCACTGTGATAGAGAACATGGTTTTCCTGTTGGTGGCAAATGTCCTCCATGAGGAGGTGGAGATGGTTACTTCCAAGGTTCTCCCTTCTTAAGCCTTATGCTCAGAGTAACCAGTGGTATTTACTATGTGCTGAGTGCTTCACATGTGTGATTGAAGTTTTTCGGCCATCTGGCTTCAGTCCCATGTAAGACTTGTGTTTAGGATAGGACTTTCATCACCTCCAGACAGGCTGAAATGGAGTTTTGGTCCAAGCACTGAGAACAGAGAAGGAAACACAAGTTGTCCAGTTTTAATGAATATTTTCACTGAGGTGAAATTCATATAACATTAATTTTATAATTTGATTTTACTTTTTATTGTGAGTGTATAGGATATGTGTATATATGTGTGTATTTGGGTTGGCATGTGCACACGTGAACGTCAATGTTAAGTGTCTTCTCTGTTTCTCTCCATTTTAGGTTTTGAGACAGGGTCCCTCACTGAACCCACAGCTCACCAGCTGGCCAGGCTGGCTGGCCAGCCATTTCTAGGGATCCGATGGTCTCTGCATTTCAGTGCAGAGATTATCCATGTGCACTGTGCCTAGATTTTAAAACTATTTTTTGAGATTATAATGTAATCACATCATTAGTTCTTTCCCTTTCCTCACTCCAAACCCCCCATTTATTCCTCCTTGCTCTCTTTCAAATTCACGGCCTTTTTTGTTTTTATTATTTGTTGTTACATACATATATGTATATACATTATATACTCCTAAATATATAAATGCAACCTTCTCAGTCTATGAATGTTACTTATATGTATATTTTAGGGTCAGTCTGGATTTTTTAAAAAAATGTATATGCTGGGGATGTGAACTCAGATCCTCCTGCTTGCTCAGCAAATCCTTTACTGACTAAGCCAATTAGGCCTCCTGATTTGTCACTTTAAAATGAATCAGTGTACTGTCCCCCACCCCCAGTATTATATAGCCATCACCTCTCTCCACAGTCCCCAAATACTTTTGTTATCCCCAAAGGTAGCCACACCCCATCATACAGTCACCAAGCCATGCTCTCTTCACAGATTCTGACTTCCACCAGTTTGTGTTCTGATTCTGTGGCCATAGACAGGCTAGTTTTAGCAAAACAGGACAGAAAGCAAATGTGTTTAGCATTTTTACAGTGTCAGGAACTTAGAATCATCCCCTCTAAGCAAGATCTTGCTGATACTGTTTTACAGATGAGAACATGAGAGCCCAGGGAGGTCCTGAAATCATCTCAGGTCATTCAGCATCAGTACCAGACCCGGGACTAGAACCTTGGCAAATGACTCCAGATGCCTGCCCTGATTTCTGGGGCACACTGACTCTCTGTGGTCCCACTCTGAGAGGCCAGAGCACCAGCCAGCAAGTCCCCTAGGCTGTGACAAGGTGACTTAGCAGAGGGGAGGCTATCACACTCACTGGCTTTAGTCTGAATTCCAGCTCCAGCTGTAAGACAATGTGCTGAGAGCTACAACAGAGATTTACAAAGACTGCTGGAAACCCAGAGAGAAGCTAGATTACTTCCTCCAGGGGTGCTAGAAAACCATCTGCCCCTCTCATTCTGTATTTTCTTATACAAGAGGAAAATCCAAAATGACCTATATATAACAAAGAGCAGAAAAGAAAGATCCTACAAAGTCAGGATGGATTTTATTTGTGGATGAGAGCCCAGAACATGGCTTTAGTTCTGCTTCCATTAGTCATGTGACTCGGGGAAGGTGGATTCTTGTTTCTGATTTTTCAAAATCAGGAGTACCAGATGCCCAGACACACAAAATCCTTGTCATATTATAAGATTAAGATATCAACTTTTTGTTTTGTTTTGTTTTATTGAGCCAAAGTTTCAAGTAGCTCAGGCTGGCCTCAAACTTACTGTGAAACCAAGGCAACTTTGAACTCATGATCCCCTTGCCTCCACCTCCTAAGTTCTGGGATTATGGGCCACACCTGTCTAGAAAAAATAGTTTAAGTGAATGTTTTGATGTGTCATCAAGGGCTGTTTTCAGAAAGTGGTGACCTTCCTTATGCTAACCAATAGCAGCATTAGTAGGGACACTTACATATTGAGCTCTTATTTTATGCTAGGCACTATTTCAAGTCCACACCTGTGACTTAATTAAGAACTGTGGGAAAATGCTGCCTTTGAAAAATCATTTTTTTTTAAAAAAACCTAAGCTGAATTGTCCTGCACTCTGTGTAAGAAACTTAGTCTTTGATTTGCTCTATGAAAAGGAAAGTGTGTGTGTGTGTGTGTATCCCCTGGTTGGAGATCAAGCTTAGGTTTTCATATTTATGTGGAAGGTACTTTACCAAATAAGCCATGTTGCCAGACTTCTCTGCATTTTTCATTTATCTATCCTATTAATTTTGTAAAATTTTGTGTGTGTGTGTGTGTGTGTGTGTGTGTGTGTGTGTGTGCTTTTTTGCACCATGGTATGGATATGGAAGTCAGAGGACAACTGGTGAATTTGGTTCTCTGATTCCATCATGTGGGTCTCAGGTCTTGTACTCAGGGCAGGCTATTAATTAGGCTTGGAGGCAAGAGCCTTTACCCCGAGGCATCCCACTAGTGCTTTTTCCATCATCCAACTGGAAGGAATGAATCCTAGGCTTTTTTTTTGCACCAGATTTATTGGTAATGAAATGAGGAGCATGCAGTTTCTGTGGCTAGGCTTTACCTTAGTTCTTTTCACTGGGGAGTCTCAGAGAGTTCACTACCCAGAAACATTTCAGTTTGCAAGCCTTTCTCTGTGTGATTGAGGATGGGGTTTCCATCCGTGAGGGCCCACCATACCATACCCCGTGAAAGCTAGCAATCCCAATAGCCCCCTCTGTGGCAAAGCTACCTTACTGACTACCGAACCTAGACTTAGTTAATCTTCAGAAGTAAGTCTTTTCCTTTCTTATACTGCTGTACAACACTATTCCTGGGAGACATCAACATATGTCTACTCATCCAGATAGGGAACTGAGAACTGACCAAAGTACAGATAGCACAGAAGTCCAATTTGGTGAAACAATGAATTTGTTTGCATCACTTATAGGAATATGAGTGAGGGGTTACTTAGAAACGACTCAAAGAACACCTGCATTACCAAAACCTACCCTAGCGTTTATGACAGCTCATGAAAGTTGTACTCTGGTGAGCACTGCACAGCCTGCAGGTAGCTTGACAGGTTGTAGATGTCAAGACATCTGAGGTGGTCTGAGCTTCTTCCAGCCTGAGAGATCAGCTGGTCAGTTTTCCACAGTGCCTGCTGACTGGTATATAAGACTTCCCTCCTTTGTAATAAATGGCATTCTCTTTGAATGAATGACTCACTGTCTTTATATAAATTCTCAGGCCCCTCGCCTGAATCCGTGAGAAGTGTTGTAGTGCTGGCACTACATACTACATATCATGGTCCATAGATTAAGTTTTCTGGTAATGAAGAGGTCAAGTCCTCAGTTAACTAATGGCTAGAATTCAGTTCTTTAGTAACTCAGCTTGAGTACTTTAGAAAATAGGGTTGTATTTGGACAAGTGGGCTAAGACAGTAATTTCTAAGAGGTTGGTAGTTGCTGAGTATTTACTAAGACCTGGGATAGGTCCCTCTTAAATTGGCTACCACTTAAATGAATGACTGTCATCTGGAGTCTTTAAGAGTGCCAGGTCATCCTGCTGAGCCAGGTTAGGATGGAGGGTAGGATTTTGTTTTATGGTATTACTAATTATTTTATCATGGGTTATACTTTCCCA